GCTCTGCCACCCTCAACATAAAGAAGTTATTCCTTATGTTGAGGTGAAACTTACTGTGTGTTAGTTTATGGCCATTGCTCCTCATTCTCTCACTGTGCACCACTGAAAAGAGTTGGCACCATCCTTCTGGCATCCACCTTTGAGATATTGATATACATTAAGGAGATTCCCTCTCAGTCTTCTCTAGACTAAATAGGCCCAGCTCCCACAATCTTTCCTTATAAGAGAGGAGAAATTTAATCCATTCAACTACATTGTAGCAGTTAAAATGGATTAAATACTTGTATTTAAAATACATGTATACATAGACATGGATTTTTATTTTATTTTATTTTTACTGGATAACTCTGGAGTTCTCTGCATCCTTTATTTCAGTGATCAGCACACCAAGGATGAAGCACTGCTGTAGGGGTATGCAAAAGCAACATTACATGCTGACAGCTCCCAAGAGGCAGGAAAATAATACTGTAAATGCAAAGTGTAAGGTCATTAAATGAATACTGGTTTTAGCTGAAACTTAAGAGATAGAGACCTTGAAAACTAACACAATTGTACAAGTGACTGTGACTGCAGTAAATTCAGAGGGCCTCTTTTTCCTTTATTCTTGGAATAAACATTGTTCTGACTCAGTGTTTGGAAGGCCACTTAGTGAAATTCTTCATTCTCCAATACATTATTGAATTTTGCTACATTTTTATAACAAGGCAGGAATGAAAATAAGGATTTGTTTTGGAATAAGTGAGCAGAAACACAGGTGCAAATTCACAATGCACATCAAAGACTTCTCTGCACAAACAGGTAGAGATGACTGCATGTTCGCTCAGAACTTATTCTATGCTGATTCTGATCCTGAGCAGCCAGGAAGAGCAAGTGCATTTATTAACACTGTGTAGCCTTACCTTTATTGTTTGGATGGATGCTGGTAACCTGTTCTGGAAATCTCATGTACAGTGTTAGTGTCCAACTCCCTGGAGGTGAATAAACTCATACTTTATGTGTGTCAAGAATGACCCACCCAGTCAAATAGTTACTCATTGGTAACTTACTATACTACACACTGGCTCTATGCTGCAACATTCCCACTGCAGGCAAGCTCTAAGTATTTTATAGTTGTGTAGATGTCAGCATTTTTATATCACATTGCAAGAAGCTATCAATGTAATTTGATCTTGAGAGAGAGAACATAAAGGCTCAAGTACTGTTCATATACTCTGATTATCGTTTTCCTGCTCCACAGAGCTGTGGCATTTTTCTTATCCAGTTCGATCTATCCTCCAAGGTCCACGTGGTGTTACTATGCCAGTAGTATTGTTTCCCAGTATGTTTTATGTAAACAGAAGAGTTTATGGCTTGAGTTCATTTACCTTCTTCACAGGGTTGTGCATGTCTCTCTGGAACAGCAGGAGCCCAATGCAAGACAAGCCTTCAGTGCTCAGCTAAGCTGAGGACAGACTCAGCAGTCACCCACTCTCCAAACCACAGCTGGGACTGGACATTACCTGGTTATCTTTCAGTATACACTGAGCCACATGGAGATGATAAGAATTTTAACTAGGGGCTTGCTTGCTTAGCCGATTGTGCTAAACAGCTGTAAGGATTCTCACATCCCATCAGTGAGGAAGTGTGAAACTGTTTAGAAGCAAATGGTGTTTCACAGCTCTTGTTGTTGGCTTCTGAAGGCTTGTTTATTATAAGAATGTTGAAAGTAATGTGCTATACTGTGGACATTAGGTTAGTGCCTGCACTTAAGTTTTCTTACTGCCTTCATCATCCATTCACTATACGATAAGCTCTCATAAGTCACTTTCTCTCAGTGTTTCAGCTTTCCCATGTATGAAATAAGCTTAATGGTACTTTCCTCTAAATGGTATTTTCAAATCTGTGTATGACTGAAATTACTAGGGGTTTGCCTCTATTAAAGGTATATAGTTTACACTGCTGTAGCTTAACTGGCATTTACTTAGCTTTACCATGGAAGTGAGAACTGAGGCTTCTGTGTATGTTCTTGTTTTCCATACTAATGCTGGTTTTCTTTATTTAGATAGGGCCTAAGCATCTGGGTCCAGCTGATAAAGTTTCATTTTCAGTTGTTTGCTCCTGCACAATTGGTTATTAAATTCAGCAATTTTGGGATTAAGCTGAAAGAGTTGTAATTAAAAAACCTAAGTATCAAATATGGTTGTGGGATAGTCACAATCATTTTACAGACATCAAAAGTGCAAAGGAAACACTGGTGGTAAAAAAAGTTTCTCTTTCCCTTCCCTGAATCTCATGTATTTGTAATAGATACAGAGCCCCCCAGTTCCTTACTTTTCTCCCACACTCCTGTGTTTTGAATGCTAATCACAGGACACAGAAAATGTTCACTGAGGGAAGGTATGTGGCTCTTTTTTATTTCAAGTATGGATACATCCTTTTAATTGCATGCAGACAGCAGATGGTATGGCTTTTGTGGCATCATGAACTCTAGCACAATATAGTCAGCCACTGCACAGCATGGTAAAATTTAAATCTGAGTAAATATGGGGAGAGTGAAGGGTTAGGGGTGGGAAGGCAGTAATTCCTGGGACATTTGTTCCATTTTGATTTTACAAATTGACCATGATCCTGTTCTGCTTCACTCATGTTAACTTTCTGCATCTGCTCCAGAAAACTCTTTTCCTGCCAGACACATACCCCCAAGCAAATGTTTTAAAAAGTTTTAAAAAACTTCAAAAAAAGCATCTCCATTTGAAAGTGTAATGTTTTCTTTCATAGGAAATGTAAGATTTTCAAGTTACTTTCTCTCAGACTTCAGAAAAGGAAGTAGGTAAAAAACCAACCCAGAAATAACATAAATTCCCAAGCCATGAGCATGAGGTAAGCTCTTTACTATGCACAGGTATAATCTCTCATAAAACTGACTTGGAATTTTCTGAAGCTTTTTCTGGTCAGAATTTTTTTTTCCATTAGAAGCCCCCTTCTTGCCTGATTCAGACTTTACACCCATCAGTCAGTGTGTTCTTCTGAATCCATCTCATTTTTCCCCTCTAAGGAAAAGTGTTGAAACTGCAGAAATTTTCCTAAGGCAGGGAATGTTTTCCTATTCAAAACTCACATGCCCTGTGAATTCTGTCATTGGTTTAAAGGCCGTACAACTTAGGACCAGCGGAGGCTTTGTACAGAAGAAAGCAGCTTAGCAAGTAAAATTGAAAAAATAATACAAATTAGAGAGGATTCTTTTCATTGAGTTGCAGCATACCCTGACATGTGATATGCCATTAAATATATGAGTACATAGCAAATATATTTAAGTTTAATGAAACCTTAACCCCCAACATTTACTGATTTAAGGGCTTATTGTAGTATGCTGTGACAAAATATTTGGATATAGGCAGACTTATTTCTAGTTCCTCTAGAATTTAATGCTGGTATGACATAATCTATATCCAGTCCCAAATCTGTGAGGCTGCATCAAGAGACAGCCAGTATGTGACCATAAAGGAGAAGACTTGTAGGAGGCAGCATTTGCTAAGAGGCACCGTTCTTTCTCAGTTCAGTACAAGAGCTTGCAAACTACACTACGCCCTCCAACATGCAGGATTTAGAGCTGAGGGAGTGTACAACTGACTGTGTGAACTCAAAGACAGTGTTATTGATCATAAAACTATTAGATGTAACAGTGTTTCTATTTTGTAGAGTTTAACCATAATGATATACCCTGATACATGATATTTAACATTTTTCTGAAGTCTCATTCCATGACTGAATCTTGTCTCGATCTCTGATAGAGTGTAGTATGGGTAAGTATTAACTAGAAATTCAGAAATGGTTAGATAGAATACATTAATGTGAAAGTACACCAAGGAGAGCAGTGGTGAAGTTTAGTGGACCTTTGTTTTTCATGTTTTTAATCACTTAGTCTATGTTCCTGTTCTTCCGAATAGTTTCTTTATTCTAAATAGACATATCATTGTATTAGCATGTGGGATTAAATTAATTGCATTTAAGAAATGGAACCCACTTTGCACATAGCAACACTTGTTGAACTTGCGTTATGTATTACTCCAGATTTTCATAAAACTGGGCAAAATGGGAGTTTCCTTTTTGATTTTCTGTTCCTTCCTGAATTCATTAATTAAATAAAAATTCCAATCTATGGTGCCATTCTCACATAAATTTTAGGAATAGTTTTCCTCAGATTAAAAACAGTGGAGCTATGCCAATCCACAGCAGCTGGGAATTTCCTACCCTGCTAACTGTGTGTGACAGTGGATTTGATAGGCACAGGACACCTCCTGTATGCATTCTAAATTATCCGTCAGACTTCTTGTCTTTTAACATATGATTCTCTTGCATAAATCAGAACTCTGCTGCTCCAAAATATAGCTTTTATACCTTGTGCAAACACTTCCTAAGCAATACACAAGACTGTTTGTCTCTCAATATTAAATAAGGTATGCGAACATCATGCCATGGATGTATCTAATGTACTTTATATCTGAGTAATGTAAAATATTTTATACTTCTTTTTTTTTTTCTATATGGAGATAAGGTTAAGACATGTGCAGGTGCAGTAATTTACCCTGAACCCTCTCACTGCCCATATCCTGCCAGAATTACTTAGGAATCTGTGCAGCTTGTTTCACATTTTGAAATCTCAGGACACTGCTTCGAAGCCATTTTCTCCCCTTTTAACATATTTTACCATTATTCTATCCTGAATGCAAAAAGCAGTGGAATCTTGAAAGAAAAAATGTATCACTTTGTTTAAATATGCACTAAAATGGAAACTGAGCTTTTGTCCCTGATTTCTGCTGATCTCCACATTATTTCCAAGGATGTATAATTGAATTATAACCTTGATTTTCATACAGGTCAATGGCATCCATGCTAGTGACTCACACACATCATAAAAGTATATTTCCAAGGGGTGTGGATATAGGTGGGCTGAACAGCTTGGGCTGGTTTACAAAAACCGGGGCCTCAAGCCATCTGCACATCTCCATTCTTTGTTCCAGCTGCTACTCTGCTCTACAAGCCACATCACCAGGGCAACATGGCATTTACAGGCAAATACGAGTTTGAAGGCGATGAGAACTATGATGACTTTGTGACGAAGATTGGTGAGTATGTTGTGGGTGTAAGACTTCAAGGTTATAAATTAGTTAAAAAGCCTTTTTTTTTTCTCCTTTTTTGAAGTGCTTTTTACTGAAATGTGCTGAGATCCACAGGGGCTAAAAGTGGTAGAAGCGCTCTACACTTCAGCAAGGCGATTCAGTTTTCATTCTTATGGCACTTGAGCACTGCTAGCTGCAGAAAATAGTCCTGTTTTACAGAATTAGTATTTCATTTCAGTGACAGTAAAATGAAGGGGCAAGTTGTTTGCAGTTTGATGATTGTGAAGGTAACTTTTTCTGTCCCATTCATGAGTAGGGGTATAACTTTAGTATGAAAACACTTGTCAAAATCTTACACAGTAACAGGTTTCTGTGAATGCTTTCAGAAGACTGTGCAAATCTGTTTCAGAGATTACCCCATAAAAGCTTTTTATGGACGCTGTGATCTGAACACATAAGTTCAATGCTTGTGTTTATTAATTTAAATAGCACTAGCACATAGTGAATAGGTATGTGCAGCTACATAGCAAAGGCACATACAAAAGGTCATACATGTTGAATTGCACTCATCTGCATGTGGAGGTTAATAGAAGGGGTTATTTGCACATATATTGTATCTATACATGTATTCTGTTTATCGCTTCTCAGGGAAAAGGATGTAAGACTAAAACTTATTTTAGCAAATGCACTGCTGTGTACCTATAGTTTCCTTTATACCAGTCATTTAAACTCAGGGCTTTGATATTGCTAAGGACAAACATACCATTAGCATGCTTCAATTCAAATACAGCTAGTAAGCTATTAGATTTGATAAACTGTATGTTTCTATTGATTAAGGTCTCCCCAGTGACAAAATTGAAATGGGAAGGAATTGCAAAATAGTCACTGAGGTGGTGCAAAATGGAAATGACTTCACCTGGACACAGCATTTCCCAGGAGGCCGTACCACAACCAACATATTCACAGTTGGCAAGGAAGCAGACATGGAGACAATGGGTGGTAAAAAGTTCAAGGTAAATTCGTTTAGCTCTTCAGTTCTACCCTGTCTCAGTTGTCTTTTAATTTAGGGTGAAAATCAAATCTGTCTCAGGCACATCTTCCTTAACTTGATTTTCTCATCTGTCATAGCTTAGAAACATGGAATTTGCCTCCATTTCTTGATGCCCCTAGCAAAATATTTAAATCTGATTTTAAAGAGAACTACAGCTTCAGAACTGTATGTACTAATAAAGAATGAGGGTAGAGTGTCAAGCACCTACTGGTATTGCAGCTCAAGCAAACATAATGCTCATTGCAACTCTCTATAGTTAGTTGGCAGCTGTGTCATGGTCCAGCAGCTGCAGTATGCTGAGGGGAGTGCTGTGGTCTCTAGCTTTCCCCATGCCTGTCTGCAGTGCTCACCTTTTGAAGTCACTTGTACCTGAGCCTTAAACAAAAGGCTGTATAAAGTGAAGGTCGGGAAAAAAATATTTCTGTATCCTCCTTCCTATTGGAAGTACAGAGCAACCTGCAAGTTAAGCAGCCTCTTGCAAGATGGAAGATTACGCAGTACTGATCTGCTCGTGTCACAGACAAAATCTGGATACAAAACCTGCTGTAAAATTGTTGCTTTATTTACCTTATTAATTTCTCAACTATTTAAAGGAATAAGACAGTTTGGAATAGCTAAACTCTGCATCTGTGAGGTGTCCAAAACCCTGCAGTAGATAACTGGATAAATGTTTTATACATATTGGAGAGACAGGAAAACCAGTAGTTGCATCAGAGAGCTGTAGCAAACAGAGCTTAACAATAGCATTGCATGATTTCCAGAACTTTTTTAGTCACACCTTTCTGATTATGAAAGGTAAAAAAACTATTTCTTTGGCTTTGAGAAGTCTTTGTGAAACCTGACAGATAGAATAAGACACAATTCTACTTGGTCAAACTATTGCAAAGTTAACAATTCTGAAATACTCCAAATTCCATTCTTTGTGACTCTGGCACTTCAGCAATTCAAGCCTATTAAGTAACCAAAGATGGAGGCAGAGTAAATGACTCAGTAGAGAAACCGCTGCCTTTATAGTATAGTGTTGCTGAACAATACATAAGTTAGTAACATGGTTTTCTGGTATGTGGTAGAATATATCCACTCTTCATTCTGCAAATTAATTTTTTTTCCCCTTGAAGTATAACTGCCTCATCTGTTTTTATTGCTAAAAGCAAAGATAAGACTGACTAGTTATACAGACAAGACTGATTTTGTGATGGAATTACATACCTAGTTTTGGTGGTCAGCTGGGCTGCTGTAGTATTTCTGGCATACTTCTTCCATACAGAAGAAGCTTTTAACAGCAATTGGTACAGGATCTAGGGTAAAGATCCACATCACTTGTGCACAGTGACTTTCGTGCTGCTTGCAAGCAGGTTGTTGGTATCAGAGAATGCTACTTGTTAGATGGACTGTTAGATGAACATTTTTCTATTTAAATTGTGAACATATAAGAACTAAAGCACCAACATTTTAGTCTTGTTCATGAAGCTGCATGTGTAATACACGACAATATTTTTAAAGGTAAAAGCTTCAGCATCAGGTTTACAGCTGTTTACTGTGTATCTGATAATAAAAATGCCAGTAACCCCAGGGAATATTAAACCTTTCTCTATTACAGGCAACTGTAAAAATGGAAGATGGGAAATTAGTAGCTGATTTTCCCAACTATCGCCATACTTCAGAGATTTCTGGAGGAAAGCTTGTGGAGGTGAGTTCTCAAATATCCAGGTTAGCTTATAAAAACCAAACCAACAAAAACCCCCTCAAAAGTAGCAGGCTTAAAATTCTGAGTTTTACACAAATGAGATAATTGTTCTCCAAAAGCAGTAAGTGATTCCTTTCAGGGAGGATAAGCATCCTTTCTTGATTCACAGAGTAACTTACTTACGGTTAGTGTCTGTTGAAGATGCACTCAGATATGACTGGCACAGACATAAGTTAGTTCAGGAAAATTTTTGAGAATCAGAAAACATGATGTTTGACAATCCTGTTTACAAGTTTTACTGTAAGTATTGTAGTTTCAATGGTCTTCCAAAGCTATGTTGCCATTTTGTTGATAACTTGGAGGTGGTGAAAGCAGGATACATTTAAGTTATCCCTAAACCTCTAAAACTTTTTGTGTAACAATATTTTTGCACTGTGTATTTCAAACTTGACAATGCCATTAAGCTTATTTTTTAATGTCTTCTACCCAAGGGTGAATGTTGCTTCAGTAAAGGATAGGTTCTGTGAGCCAGTCAGCAGGTCTTTTCGTTTGTGACACTGAAGCTATAATTGCAGTGTTCAACCCAATTTTAATTTGTTCTTTATTCCAGATTTCTACTGCTTCTGGTGCAGTCTACAAAAGGGTCAGCAAAAGGATTGCTTAAGACAGTGAAGCCAGTCTCTTCCAGTGCACTGGAAAACATTCAACAATACAAATAAATACGGATTGTCTTTCTCACTCTCTTTCATTGAATTTACAAACATGAAGAATTGGTTTTCAGAGTAATGTTATCCTCAAAATTAATCATACTCCATGCCTAAAAATCTGACAAAAACTAGAAAATCAGAATGCAAAAATCAGAAGATGCAACAAAGCATTGGGTGATGCTGTCCAGTCTTTCAGGGTATGATGCATACTTAGCATTTTCAAATGTTGTCTTCCACCTACTTAATAGAAGTTCTATTCAGTTTCTGTCTAGAGAATAAGACAGTACTCTGCCCAAAGTGTACATCAAAATGCAATACCTGATAAATACCTTTTGTCCTATTACTGGTTGGAGGGCAGAAATTTAGGAGCTTGAAAACAAGAGAAAGTCAGTGTATCACTCATTAAAATATAAGCTTTCATACTGCTATCATGGTTTTCTCGTTGTCAATATCCCCTCCTGACCTGAATTCCTAGAAGATATTTAAGGTTTTACAGACAGGCTCCTATGAAAAAATGTGGAAGTCTTATTTTCTCAGTTCAGTCCTGTTATTTACATAAAGTGCATATGCGAACCTGTTTTCTTGACACAGCAGGAATTAAATATAAAAGTTTTTGGATTCACTGTTCTAAACCACTTCTGGCCAATACTGGGTCCACAAAGATTTTCCCTTTTCATGCTCTTTTTTTTCCAGCTTGTCTTGCCTTCTGGATCCACTGAGCTGTTTGGCCTCTCAAGCTAACCAGTAACTAGCCAGGGCATGTGTCTTGTGTACACAAAATTCATTTTCTGATTGGGTACATGACAACTGATTCGGAGAAAACTCCAGGAGCAAACTCGCCAACAGTTTCAAGTTGACAAGCAGGTATTCATTATTGCGGCTCGGGGAGACACGGGGATAGCTCCTCCTAACGTGTGTCCCTGTATTGCTACTCAGGCCATCCTTATATAATCACTGGGCATACCATACATATTCATGAGGCTACGCTTGAATTATATCATTTTCCAAAAAGTTTCCCGCATGTATACAAAAATGTGATGGTGGTCTTTGAGGGTCGTTTACTTCTCCATTGTTCTTCATAACTTCTGGCAGTCTTGGAAGCACCAGCTTAATGGGTTCATTAACACCACAAACATGGCAATTATCCTGGCCTTCCATTTATCAGTTAGTTTAACTGTACCCACCCTGGACATCTGCTAGTCCCAAATACTCCCCGTCCCCAGGTTGTTTCTCTAGTCTGCTTTTCTTACACTTTTTGTACTAAGGTCCTAAGGACCTAAAACTATGTCAACTACCTTCAAGCACCCCAGTTATTTTCCATTACAAAGCCATCAAACTTAGAACTGATTGTGCTTTTGTGCCTCCTTGTCTCACTGTTAATGCCAGTCATTTTGGTATGTTGCATTTAAAAAGGCTTTTGATTCCTTTTTATATTTTTTCCTCAATAGAGATTACTAAATTTTCCAGCTGCAACAAGGTTTCATCCAGACTCCATCAGTTTAACCCGAACAGGCTACATGGGTCTTATGACCAGGTGTTGCTCAATGTGTTGCTTACTCTGCAAGGCAAAGCATAATGCTGAGCTCTAATTAAACACAAGTAAAATCTGAAACCTGTTCAATCTTCAGACATTCTTCTGATACTTACACAAACAAATCTACCGATTTCATAGAATTCTGCTGAAATTCAGCCTCTTCAGTTATATGAAATAAGCTTACTCCTTGTTTGAGTTCAGGTGAGCTAGTACATTGTTGTGCAAATATGACATCTTAGAACATTTGGGTTTAGAATATGCCTGTCATATTCAACACTTAATGAATTACACAGAGTGACCCATAGAGTTAGGCAGAGGTAGACATTGGGCAAATGTTATATGAAACTAAAGCTTTTAGTGGAATTAAGGGATAGTACTGTTTTGTCTGAACCATTTACTCTCCCAAGAGCCTTCTCTGAAGCAGGTGATGCTGATACCTTATGATTCCCTGCTTTGAAAACAAAATGAAACAAGGCACCACTAATTCCAGTTCTAGAGGCAACTATATTTAGCTTACACAACTGGCGCATTTTGTTTTCACATTCTACATGTGATTAACTCACTCTTCATTATACAGACAACAATGCTCTGAAAGGAAGGGTGGGATTCTTATCTAGCCTCTCTAGAAAGCATTTAAGGGGTGCTTTCACATGGGAAAAAAAAAAAGCATTGCTGCTTTTTCAGCTGGCTTGTCTTGAAATGGCAGCAGAGAGCAAAATAAACCCCTTGTGGGGTGCAACTTGCACAAAACTGTCACCAAGAATCCACCAGTTTGGCCCACATTTGCTAGTATCTAGACTTCTCAGTAAAAAAATAGTACTAAACTAAATTTTGTTCAGCAACACCTGCACACGTTACTGGTGAGTTGATTAGACTGATCAAAGAGCATTATATACACTTAAATTGTTCACTACAGTGTGTAAAACTCGCTAAAACAAAAGGATCAAACAGCGGCTTTGACAACTTTGCAAACACCAAGTTGTGGCTTTCTTACAAATAGGGAGAGGGTAGTAGTTTCCTGCTTAAAAAAGCAGCAAGCTGCAGGTGCAAGATTTTTAAAGCTCATTTTAACCATTGCTGCCTGATCAACATTGGCAGACTTCTTCCATCTGTATCCCTGCTGCAGCTCTTGTCAGGGCTCACTAATATATTTGGAGGCTTTATTTTAATGTCAGCTTTCTCTTTGGTTGTGGTTACCTGTGCAACATCCTCCCCCCTCTTGAGTAACTAGTGCCATAGCCCATTTTGTATTCTGAGCCATGTCTTGCTGCATTTGCTTCTGCAGCAGCTTTTCTTGCTTCCAAGGCTGCCAGGGAAATACAAGCTAATCAACTTGTAAAAATTCTGATCTATGACTATGCTGCAAGTGACACCATCAAACAGCACAAGCACAATATAAGAAAAATTCATTTGTTTAAAAATTAACTCAGCTTTGCATGTACCTCTGCAGATCACTCCAGACAGAGCAGCTTTATGTGGGCTGCACTTTTACATTTGCTCTTCCTGATGAGGTGTTTTGACAGGAGAAAAACAAATAACCAGAGACATGAAAAAGTATTTACCTAGAAATTAAATGTGTGGAATTGCCACCAACATTCAAGGCACTGGGGAGAGAGCTGTCAGTCAGCAGTATTAAGCCAACTCAAATTCTAATAGATCTCTCCCCTTTCAAAGGCTGCTCTTGGACTTAACCTGCCCCAACTCCACCCATGATACAACAGCACATATGGAACATGGAAGTCAATGCACAATTCCTGCTTAGAATGTAGTCACCAGAAGAAAGACTGAATGTATAGCTGTGTTCTCCTATTCAGTCTGTCAATCTCCTCAGGTAAGATAGCACCTCCAAAACACACTGGCCATCTGATCTGCTTTTATATCTCCACCTTGTCTCTGCACATTTTCTGCCTTTCTTGTGCAGTGACCAAATATCCTGATCTGTCTAATCTTTCACAATTTATTTTTTAGCAAGGTCTTTCCATCACAGGTCTTACCACTCTTCTATAAAACATTATGACTGCTCAGATCAATTATTTTGAAGGTATAGACATGTACTTTTTACTAGCTGTTAAAAGCTAAGGAGAAACCACAAAAGGAAGAGGGTACTTCAGCTGTGTGGTGTGTTTATTAGAAACTTTTACTGGGAACTTAGCAAGTATTTTCACCATTAAGCACAATGGCAGTCCAAAGTATAACACTGCACATGATGCAAAAACTATAAGGGTGACGGAAACCTCCCCCCCAACAGTACTTCCATGTGTATGTTGTTCTTTATGACTCTTGAAAGACAAAAGCACACACTGAAGTCTTCTGAAAATAAAGTTTAATATAAATATAAAGCTAACAGAATAAAAGACAAAGTTCTCTAAAGTTCTAGAGTATTTCTGATGAGTACTGCCTCCTCAGTTATAGTTTGCATTTAAAAAAAATCAAGAAGATTGCTCTAGCCTGCTGAATGGAAGAAATTATTAGCTTGATACCAGTTGTGTTCTTGGAACATAGTACACAAACACATGTTAGCATGCAGGCTCATTTTCCCCTTCCACCTTAAAACACCATTAAAAGCAAGTCTCTAAAAATATAATTTAAAACAGCACTATGGGACACAAGGTGAAAAAAATGCCCCAAGTCAGTAAAAGCATATTGCACATTTCGTGTATTGCTGTCCTGAGAACCTTCAGAGAGAAGGCAACCCAAGAGTACTGCCTTCAAACAAACAAACTTACAGTAGGTTGCATATATCAAAACTAAAGGTTCACATTTGCAGAAGTCCATTTCTTGTAAAAATATAAATTACCATAAAAGCCTCTACAGTTTTCTGAACTATGAGCCCTGGTTTCAGTTGAGAAAGAACCCTCTGGATACATGACAGTAGATGTGCATCTCATTGCAAAGCTGCAACAGGATCTTCAATTTACCAGCTACATTTTCCAAGAGAATGCAAAGTTGGTATTGAAAAAACTGAGTCAGCACTGCAGTCAAACTCTCATTTCACAGTAAAGTTAACCAGTTCCCCACCTTTGCCCCATTAACACCAGTTCTTCTGTCCTGAGTCCAAGCTACTGCTAGAAGTCATTGAGCCCAAAAGATAAAATAACTGAAGGCCATGAACCTTTTAAGAGGTTTTCCAGGAGGATTTCTTCAAGTAACATTAAATCCCTGATAAAGCTCATGAACAATTTTATTAAGAATAATCTCCAGTCTCAAAAGCAGCAGCATGTTAAAGATGTAAGAGATGATTTAAAGTTTTGGTTTTGTTTCTAAAATGCTTGAAGGCAGAGTGATGTTCTGTTCAGCAGCACCATGTTCAGATTCCAGGAGAATTTCAAGTCAAAAATTATTTGATAGTCTTCTGGCCAGTTTTTCTTTTTTTCCTTTTATTCTAAAGTCTTACTCCTGAACTATCACTCCTGATCAAAGGAAATAGAAAGTGTTCTACATATAGATTTCTGCATAAACAAAGTTCACATTTAACTGATGCCAATTTCAGTATATTTTAGTAAAAGCTTCCAGTAGTATAAGCTGCCAGTGTTCAAAGCAACGCATCACTAGGAGAGATAGTACTCCATGTTTTCCAACAACAGCTTTTAGATAACATTGCTAGTTGGCCATAAATTCAACATATAGTCCAGCCTGAAATAACTCTTCAACACAAGTTTTCAGATAACTCTATTGAGTCACTAACTGAAAATCAGAAGGAAGTAATCTCCAGAGTCCCACACAGATGCCTCTCAAGGTGACATTGAGTGAGATATATTGACAGATTTCTATTTCTCTCTCTCATTAAAAGCCAAAGCTACAAGCCTTGGCAGAAAGGCATCAGGTTCCAGTCATCAGTGGATTCGTATCAACATTGTCTGAATGGGCAAGTCATAAGGATGCTGTTTCTCTATGGTTTTAATTCAGATTCACGTCTTGTATCAGAGTCTCTTCTTCAGCTTCTATTCATAAGACCTTTTTCTCCTGTCAGTATTTACCAGTCAAAACACCCAGCTGCATATGAATGATTATCACTGAAGTAACTACTGCCACAAACCATGGAAATGCAGTGTCCGCTCTCTGTTCCAAATGCCACCTGCACGGCAAAGGGTGTCTGGATGGGCAGAGCCTGGGCAGGTGGCTGAAGGCTGGGCTGAAGAGCTGTGTAGGAGTGCAGGGAGCTGTCAGTGCTCCCAGCAAGCAGACCACTGGGCCTGTGGGCCTGCTGTAAAGATTCACGATAAGCTGAGCACAGATCTTGTACTGGCCACTGGAACTGGGAAAACGTAGCTGAATGCTGTGTTAAAGGGTGGTAACTAGATTGCTGGAAGAGAACTTGAGTAGTAGCTTGGTAACTCAGATTTCCCACTGCTTCCTGTTCTTGATGTTGAATTGTTACTTGCTTTTTTACATTATTGGCTTCATTGACGTCATTCTCATAATACCTGAAACAAATTATAAGTAGGATTTATTAAAAAGAACTTCATAGAGGCTGCATATATGCCAAAGTGTTCACCAGTTGGGCTACATTATCAGCTTTTTTGCCCTAGGTGTATATTGTGACCCTAGTTGCTTTCACAATTAATTTCTAATTATCCTGCTGCAATCTTCACACACAACAGGTCTATGGATTATTTTGCATCACAAGTATGTTTTTACTGATGGACTGGCTGTCTTGGAATCTTAAGTCCACAACACAGAGAAATTTGAAATAGTATTTGCAGAGTATTAAAGTGCATATCTATAAAGGAACAATGCAAATTCCAACTGGATATTAGAAAGAAACATTTTCACACTTGTGGCTATCACGAGAATGATGATGCACTGCAGCCAGTGGCCCTGAGAGGTTAGGAAGTCTCTGTCCTTGGAAACAGCCAAAATTTGACTAGACAACATCCCAAGCTGTCTGATTTATTTAACTTCAGTTGGCCCTGCTTTTAGTAGGAATTCAGAAGGTCCACCATCACTCCCAGCCTAAACAGAAAATTTTAAAAGCCAAATAGAATGATTAAGACTGTATGTGCTCACATACCAGAGCAGTATTGATGCATCACAGTCATGTCCTTTACTAGAGAAAAAGCAAAGAACAGTTCTGAAATGTCTCCCTAGTGTATTGTTGGAGATACACTGGTGTGTCTCTGCAGCAGGTGTATTGTGGGTACAATAAGAAAACAAAGGGAAAAAATATTTCATCAACCATCTCTAAAACCTTCCATCCAACCACACAGACAACCAGTAGAACATAATAAACACTAAACTGTGCACACTGTTCTGCATTGTAATTATTGTTAAATACAATATTTAGTAAAAGTGACCTGATTTTTAATCTTTTATTCCTCTCCCCAAACTGAAGATGGAGACTACTAATGTAATATTGTACTATCTTAATTCTAGCCAAACAATTACTTAAAGAAAATAAAAATAAAACAACATCTTAACATCTTCTTAAAAGCACAAACAGGTTTTGTTCCTTTCTTACATGAGCATCATCTCAATGCACGGGGCAAGATGTTCCAAGGAATAGCATGTTAGCCATTCAAGATGCATTGTCCAGACAGGAGAAACCTGCATACAGATACGTGCAGCACAAACACAAGCTGCAGCAATCAGAGATGGACGAAAATGGAGGAAAGTGGGATCTACAAAAGAAAAACCAAAACCAAGAATTATACTCCTGCTCATCACTGAAGGGAACACAGTATACATGGCAAAACAGGACAAAATTACACCCACAACTTTGTTCCACACATCTCAAAGTATTAACTCATGACCAGAAAAAGCCTCTCAAAACTGGATGAAGCTTTCCTGAAGATCTCTGTGCTACTTGTTCGTAACTATTATCAAGGCTTCAGTAAGTTTTTATTTCAGAAAAGGCCACAAAATAGACTTTGCTGAAATTTGTAGACTGGTCTCAGCTGAACCACAGTTTGGTACTGGCAATTACACACAATATTAGTGTTGAACCCAGCCTATGAGGATGCTGTAGTTCACTGGCTCTCACATGGGCAGATATTAGAAGCGATGCTACAGATAAAATCATTAAAAGCCCCATTATTCTAAATATGTCTTGCAGCACAGGACCCTGTAAAAAATATCATTTAAAAAGATTCATATATTGAACTGCATATCATATCTGCAACTGACAGTAGTTCACAGTCTGTGGCAGACCTAAACTTAGACCCCATTTCTGAGAGCCTCATCAAATAGTGTTCTAAGCTGAAGGAAAAACTTGATCCCACCTAGAGATTTCTGAAGAGACAAGACACTTGCACACAAACAAGGGTCACCTCCCATTTGCCATCTGAAATAACTGCAAAGAGAAGCCATTTTGCACAGATAACTTTGTGCAATCCACATTATGACAAGTTTTAAAGCCTTTATCTCTTTCAGACTTTTGCCTTTTGCCTAATGGAAGATCATTCTAGCACAAAACTAATCCTCCTACCTTGCACTGAGAAATCAAGGAAATAATATGCATATTTCTCCAGAAAGTCTTTGGCTTCAGTTGGCGAGGTGATGGGCCAGCCATTGTAAAGTTCATTCTCTCCAATAGACATGTAGAGGTAGTAGTCAATGTAGTGTGCTGGTGTTGGCATACAGAGGTTCCAGTCGAAGATTTCCAAAAGCAGTAATTCTATCGCAAGCAAATCTTGCTTGTTTAATACCACATTCACTTTGCACATGTACGCCAGGTTATTTAAGAGCTCCAACTTTGGAACTTTATCTTCTCTATCTTCAAATTTACCTGCCAGAAGAGATGGTTTTCAGGTAAGATTTATCATTATGATTGAGCATCCAAAAGCCAGTAAAGAACACTCCCAGAAAGTCTAATGATAAAAGGTGCTTTTTAAAGAATGGTGAGAAAGTACAGTGACACAAGAAAGGCAACAGACTAGCCAATGTATTCCTAATATCCTTTTTACAGTTTTGTTTTTGTTGGTATACTATCAGTGACAAACCCAGGATTATAAACACATTAGGATTACAGACAGTTTTGCTGACAATAAATGGAAGCAATCTGCTGAGGGGTATTCAGTCAAGTGTGTAGAAAGTAAGCAGCATGGGGAAAATACAGCAAAGGAAGATCTAATATTGAGAGAAAAAAGCTCCTTTGGGTATAAAAGCTAAATGCACATGCTACAAAAAGGAAGACATTAAAAACCCCTGGGCAACACCACCTTTGCCCTTGCTGCTTCAGAATTTCTCTTTGTTCCTTCCTGTCTTGGGGGGCCTCATTAACTAAGGTCACTGAATGGCTAGGAGAAGTACACTGTAACCAAGTGATTAACATAAATAATTCCTACAGGGTTAGGAGAGAGCATACATTTTCAGCCAAGACAGCTGAGCAAAGCTCCACCTTCTTCTAAACTGTATTTACCAGCCTACTGAAACAGCAGTAGCCTCTAGAATGACTCAATTTTCAGCAGTAAGTACAAAATGCAGTCATTTTGTACAGAAAACCAGGATCTTGCTCTATTTCATAAAAAGCATCCTCCTTTCATAAAAAGTGTCCAATAGATCTAGTCCTGGGAGTCAAATCCGCTGAGAAATACAGCAACAGTGTTACTCTGCTACAAACTTAAAACAATAAAATCTTGTTAAATTCACAGTTACTTTTTAACCAAGCTGATAAAGACCTATCTACCAGACTCTCCTTGTTCAAGAGCTAGCAACTATCGACCACCACTAGTTAATTTCCACTGCACCTTAAAGAACATCCCTGCTGAAAAACCCAAACCCATAGCTGCTTAAGAGTACTCTGCAGTTACTTTTCCTTTTTGTTCTTGAGGGCATATATTCCACAATTGATTCTTGTTTCAGTTGTCCTTTTGCTGCCTCTGTAAGAGTGCTCCTTTACCAACATAGACCAAGTGACAAGATATCGGCATGTCATATGGCTTCAGTGTCTTGTCAAATCTAAGTGACTCAGTATTGCACTAGAAAATTGTTTTTAAAAGATGTTCCTAACCGTTTGAGATAGCAATTCCATCCAAACTGTTTCCAGTGTATTAAAACTGACCATTTTCTGTACTCCTAGCAGCTTGAATGTCTTTTTAACACATTCAAAAGTGGATATGAAATACATTATAAGTGTAGTATGGCAGCACCTCACCATAAAAGAGCAGAACAATAGCAATGAAAAACAAAATTCATCCATCATATTAAGTACAATACAAAAGGGTTGTGGGCATACTGTCAGTGAAAAAGCCCTTGAAATTCAGGAGTCTGTATATGTGTTCATGAATCTCCTTGTTACCTAAACTTAGAAGTGTTTAAGAAAAATTAAATTTGAGAGGAAAGTTAACCCTTTGTTCTCCTCCTTCCCCCCAGGTGATGTCAGCCTGGTACAGAAATTTAATGAGTATGCTAGTGGAAGTAGGAGAAATCACTGCATGCCCAGAAAACTACAGACAGGATCTGTCATTCTGGCTCCTGTAAGGTCTGTAAGCTCCTTTCTTCCCACTCAATTTTGGAAATTTCAAAAGGTCAAACTATAGTCTGGAGAGCAGCACAATAGTGTTAGGAAGGTATCATACTAACAAAGGACAGAGCTATTGACTGGAAAATTCTTCTTTTTAACTTTCCACCTTGATCTAAAACACTTCGTTTCCAAGTTTATCAAACCCCTTCCTCACCTATTTTGAATTGAAATCTAGAGAGGACACCAAAGTTATTTCATGCCATCAGACCAAACAGGTCAGAGGCAAGCTGGCCATGAGCAAGTTGGAGATGTTTTTTAAAATGCAGTGTGACTTTTTCCAGTTCCCCAGTTTCCCTAATTTAAGGATATCAAAATATAGCATTCCTATTTTTGTTCCTTCAGTTGCAGCAGTAACTGAGGTTCTATGCACAGCGTATTTATGCTGAGAGAACCAGGACCTCCAACACAATCGCTGCAAGAGTATTAAAGGCTCAGCCAAGACAGTTTCAAGTTTAATACTGACCAAACAAATAACACTGACTTGTTTAATCAACATCACATTTTGGGAAGAAAACCAAAGCTGTCTCACCTAAATTATCACCTGGAGTCTGTCCTTTGAAGTCATTTGCATGCTTTTGAAATGCCACCATAGACACCTCAAATTAAAAGTTTGGTCTTGTGTTCTGGGGTTTGGTTACTGGTAAAACCATTTAGTTGTCACTATTGTCACCTCAAAAAGTTTTTCTTTGAGGTAACAATTATCAGCCTTTAAAGCAATGCTTAATTTAAGAAATATGTGGATGCTGCAAATTTTTATACAAGGAAACTTACTGAGGTCAATAGGGTAAATAAAATAAGATGAACCTGTAACATATGTTTACATTTATGAGAAACTTTTTTGTAAAAATCTAAATAAATGGGGGCAGAATGGAACATTTTTAATGTGTGTAATACCACTGTGATTAATGATAACAAGGTATTTCCAAGTTACTTTAGATGATGTTCTGTCCCACTCCAAATTCTACAATCAGATGCTCCCCAGAATAAAAAAAAGTGAGTGCTTTTTGTGTTACACATTCACACTTTTCTTTTGATGAATGAAAGCCAGAGCAAGTCCTGTTGTCAAGGGGACAAGGCTGAAACTATAAAGAAGTGCATTTCATTAGCACATTTGTCACATTATCAGAACAGCCTATCAATCCATGCCAGCTTTTCTCTAAGAAAAAATAAAGGTCTTAGAGAAGCATCACTCCTATCAAATATACCCTGAAGAACTGCTTCATCCACTGCAGCAGGCAACTGGATGGAGCAGTCACAATGTAAATCTTGCTACACAGCAGCAGTTCAGACTGATTGCTACTGGTTGGGTAGATGATCTTCCTGGGGTTTTACATGGGCAGCAAAACAAAGGCAGGACATGCAGGCAATTTCTTTTATTACATTTTCAGAGTCCTTGAGAAGACAAAGGAACAAAAAAGACTGCCAATTTAAAGATTCACTAAAGTGTAAATATGTTTTGTCCCATACACAATTAAAATCAATCCCAAAGAAGCATAAACCAGTCAAACCCATCTAGCCCAGCATGAAGAAAAGACCTGTGGCTGCTTGTGCAGCTAAAGGCCTACTTTTCTTTATTCCTACACTGTTACAGAAGGTGGTAAACCAAACTTCTGAGACTCTCTCCCAGGCTGCACCCAGACACAAACACAGCTTCTAAATGTCCTCTAAGCAAGGGAAGGAAGAGAGAGGCTATTTTAGAGATGCCTTACTACAGTAAAGTTTAATTAATCAAGAAAATATTCTGTACATGTTACGTCAACAGGGAAATAAAAACAATAATTAAGAGCACAGACTAAGTTTTACACTCATCTATATCCTGTACTGACACCCATTATTATCTTTTATTGAAAAGAAGTAGCTCAGCTGTCTTTGTCACAACAGCTACCTGCTTAAGAAATGGAGACAAGGAACAATAGAGAATGGATGAGAAAACACAGTCAAACAGGAAAGCTGCCTGATGGCTGACAAGAGCTCCACATAGTTAATGAGGAATTAGGCAATAAAGGATTACCCATGCCCTAAACTGAGCCCACTTAGCACGGACATCTTTTCTTGCTCTAATTGGTTTTACTGTCCCGAGTTAATTCAGCTGCTGAAATCCACTGGCAGACTAAGGAGCTGAGCAAAATAAAGCCAGGAAAACCGTAAGAAATACCCAAGTACTCTGTGAGGCAATGCAGCACTGGATGTGCTGAGCAGTAAACCAGCTTTGCTTAAATCAATACATTTAAAAACTGTTTTCATGTCTCCATAGCAGCAGAAGCCTCTTGAGGAAGAAGGGCCATAAAAACTAAAATTGCTGGAACATTCAGTGCCAATGAATGGCTGAGATGTTGCTTTTATCAGGTACAGAAGCACCTGCTGCTGAAGGGGGTTAGCTCTTCAGGAAAGAAAGGAACAGGTTTCAAGACCCAGCTAGGATTTTACAGCAACAAGCAAAAGCTGCACTGCTTTAACTATACTGATACACCATAACTGTACAGTCTCTGTATAGTACAGTTAGAAAACTCACAGAAAAAACAATTGCAGTGGTTTAAGACTTACTGTCCAGGTGCTTGCTTTCTCCCCAGAGTTTACTGCTCCTGCAGCTGGGCCATCTGAATTGATTGTGTCAGTGCAACTCATCTACTCTGGGGCAGCTGGTTTGCACAGCTTTCAGCAGGCAACTTGAGTCAAGCAGCACTAAAGCAGATGGGCTATCTTTACACAATCCCTTTTTCTAACAGGACGCTTAGGGCCAGAGCACCTTAATATCGCTATCATTTTCTGTAATAAATTGCCCAATGAAGATGCAGTTTACAACCTGCTGCTGCTCAGCAGTGCCCCTCTACAAGGATCTGCCTTCTCAGCTGCCTGGTGAGGCAAACTGAAAGCTCCTCAATTCCCTTCAAAGTGTTAGTTAACCTAGATCAATCCATCTACTGACAGCATCAGACAGATGATTTTGTCTGGAAAAATAAATCAGAGCTTACTAAAAGCACTGGGGTGCTCTGGGGGAAAAGGAAAGTAGTTAACATTTTTTAGTCACTTATAGGAGCATCTATCTATAGCCTGATGCAGAGACAGAGTCCTGGCTTCTGTGCAGGTGTACTGGTAACTATCCTGGCTCTAGATCCAGCTGGCTTGGCTGAAGACCACCAGTCCCAGCTGTCCAACATTACTTTTCACCAAAAACCAGCATCTCTCCTTTTGAACAATTAAAATCACTGGACTTCACTAATGATCTTGCGGCAGCAGGAACCTACAACCTCTTATATTACCACAGTGGACCTCCAAAGGAGGTTCTCCGTCTCTAGTCATGTACCTAGCCAAAACATTCACATGGACAGGTCTTTCTGTGTTACAGAAAGATGTTCAGTTTATGATTCTGATTTAGATCATAAAGTTTCCCTTAGTGCAAGTGAAAGAGATGGGCTATTCTAAATGCATTCCTAAAGTAACTGTGACATCAATTTTTCCAGCAACTTTTCCTTCCCTCCCCAAATAGCACTTAGTTCACTGTGAACAATTTTTACCATTCTTTTTCAGAATTGATTGAGAGGAAATAACAACCACTGATGACATTAGTAAACTTCAAAGCTTTTATAGCTGTTGTGAGGAGCTAAACTATCTGGAAGGAATTGCCAGAAGCCTTCTATTATTATGGTGTGCATGCATTGCAAAGAAACATACATCTTCTGGCTAGTGAGTAACTGAATGATATGAGGGACACACCATCCACATTCCTCTCAACTGCAGCAAGTCCAGGCTGAACATTACTTGGCTGCTAGTGCAATTTGTTTGCAACAGTATTAACTTCTCAGCCCCTCCCAGTTATTACCCAAGTGGGAAACACTATCATCATCCAGTTTCCCTGGCTGGGGAAACTGATGACCCAGTCAAAATGGGAAAAATTAGAAATTAGCCCAGCTAACTAAAGGACATCTAGCAGAATGCTACATTCTCCATCATGACAGCACTGCTGTTGTATGCTATCAAAAATAGGTGATGACAATGTCCGTAGGTAAAGGAAAAGAGACGAGTGTTTGAAATCCTTTAGATCCAGAACAGAAGCAACAAGCTTCAAAGCAAAACACAAGTTTACAACAATTTTTAAACTTAAGAATAGTCTTCACTTAGAAGTTTGCTGCTTCTATTTCAAAAGTTGTGTCTAAAAGCTTCTCTATTATGCCTCTCCCACCCCCAAAGCAACCCATACTTACAATAATTAGTGGGAATAAGAATCTTGCCTCTAACTACACCCCATCTTGCTTGTGGCCTGCACACTAACCTTAACAACCTGTTTTTTTCTAAGGAAGCAATCAGGAAGAAAACCCAGAGTTTCTCAAAACATGTTTATAACAATTACTCAAAGACAGTCTGTATCAAACAGTCATTTTGATATTATGTATATACCACAACTATTATTGGGGTTTTTTTTTGCCCTCTACAGTAAAGGTGTATTTTTTTTCAGGACTACAAGTCTCTTGCAACACAGCCTGCAGAGCACTTTTGCTGCAATCCTCTGCTGAAAAACCATGCCACTTCCTACAGTAATGTTTTACAGGAAGGTCTAATTACTGCACTTGCACTAACAGGCAATGAACTAGTTTTACTCTTCTTTGCTACAGTGAGAACTTCTAAGGTGACTTCAGGTTGGTACTTCTGACTTACTCAGAATCTTTTACTCCAAAACATTAATTTTGAAACTAATAAATTAAACATAGGAATTCCCACTTATTGTAGAGTGGTTTTTCTTGACTTGCATCACTTTGAACTACACATACCAAAAAAGAACATTATGATGGCCCAGGCAGTAAAAACAGAGCTTACTATGCTCCCAAAAGTCTCCAGGCTGAGCCCTACTAGCATTTTAAACCTTACCTATACAAGTTAATGAGGAGTTAATTTTGTGCAAAGCTGCTTTGGTTCAACTGTCAATGTTTTGTTTCTACATGTTGGTAGAAAAGCTGCCTTTACAGTAGTTGATCTTTTCCCCTTCCTGTAAGGGACGATTTTATTCCAAATCAAGATGTATACATGCTACTGCATTGCTCTGATCTTAGTTTTAGAAAGACTCTCACACTCTTTAGTTCACTAGACACAGGCTTGCTCTTTTAAGCAAATTGCTTTCCCCCTCACCCCCAACAGGCAGAAGTTACAAAACATTTCCCTCTAGTATTATCATAGGGCAGTTTGTGAACTTCCTTTTCCTTCACAGTTGCATAGAGATGGCCTTAAGTTGCATTTTACTTCAGTTATTTACATAATGAAAGTCTTGACAGCTTTTTTGCTTCTTTTAAAATCCTTGAATATAGATGTGTAGCACAAGTTATGCAGTTGAGCCAAGCTTATTAACAGACTGCTTTATGCCTTGATTTGAACTTCATTAGGCTTTACCCTAAGTAGGTGAAAGCTGTTAACACAGAGAAAACAGTACATGATATATGAGGAAAACAACCATCTGCTCAAAAGAAAAAGCCTTAATAGACAGCAGCCAACTTACTTGCTAGGCGAAGACAGAAAAATGAAATTATGTAGAGTTGCTGGGCAGTCACATCATAGCGATCCATGAAGAGGTCCAGTAGATAGATAGCGAGATGCCGGGCTGTAGGGCAGAGGTTGCAATGGTTGCTGAGCACAGTCAAGACATCAACGAAGTATCGGCGCATCCCAATCTGTGGTGAACGAGCCTTGTACACAGGCAATTTAAGTTCCTATAGGGAAAAAAAATAGGAAGAAAGGTACTGAAACAGAAAGCATTTCAGTGTCTGGAATCCCAAACCAACACCCACCACCTGCTATGGCAAATGCTTAGCAGCTACAACACTGATTGACACAGAAATCAGGGCTGGATTACCGCATGTTTTGACAGTCAGTTAACTTCTAATACTTTGGTCATCCACACGCTTTCCTCACCAGCATTAATCATATGGGCAAACACTGTAGTTTGACCCAGGAACAACTTGCTGTTGCTTTCTACAGAACACCAAACTTCTTGGCCATCTTAAAGGATTCCTTTTTAACTTTGTTCACCCCAATTAGGTTGTTACATAGACTTTTAAGAGTTTCATTAAGCAAGAAGGGCAGGATATGTTTCCCTGATACTGACCCCTCCTCAGCTGCCCAAGTTACTAATATTTAAGAATTTCACATTGTATGTGGCTACAGCAAGCAACAATGAACAAAATGGGAGAATGATTAGACTTTCATCATTATAGCAAGTTCCAGTATTTTCTGTAGTAACCTCTTTCAGCATTTAAAGAGCTAATTATTAAACTGAGACTGTATTTCACATACAATATATGAATTTTCATTTCCAAGGGAGAATTACATAAGTTTATGGTCTACCTATGCTAGCTCTTCACCTGCAAGTGTTTTTACACACAGATTTGTAGCCACTACACAAAGGGTAGCTTAAGGGTGGGAGTGAAGTTGCTTGGGAATACCTGTAACAGGCTAAAACCATTTTCTCTCTTTAGACATGGTCTAATACTAATGCAGTTACCATGGCCAGACTTGAATTAAAATGGGCTGAACACCATGTTGATAGGCATGGATTAGAAAAATACCCTTTCAGCAAGGTGTACATCTCAAGAATTTATCAAGGTAATACATAATTTTTGCATTACCTATATTTGAAAATAAATCAGAAGTAGTACAGTGCAGCAGGATAGAAGTGGTTTATAATGGAATACAAAGCTGCACATAGCAGTTAATTCTACTACGTAAGTAAGGTATTTTTTCAATCAAGTGCTGGGAAGAAGTATCTGCACTGGCTACCCCAATACAGGAGTAAGAGGCAGCACCTTGCACATCTGGCACGGTGGCTGCCCACACTCCTTTCATCCCCTGGAAGGAGGCATTCCACAAGGAGGTTCAACTTATCAGGGAAAAATAGCTACACAATCAGACTCAGAGGGGCACACAACTGGAAACCAGGGAGGCTCCCAAACAAGAAGCAGCTTACAAAGACAGCAAGCTGAGTGCTGTTCCAGATGATTGCTTCCCAGGCCTTTTTAAAGAAAGTCAGTGAAAAACACATTTCGGACTGAACAGACACATGCTGTGGACAGGCAAACAGCCCTTTGAAACCTGGGACAGCCTGCTCTGGGGGATTAGAAAGAAATCGCCCACCAGTAACAATTTATAAAGCAGGGAGACAATGGGACATGTTCCCCCCACTGTTTTATACCCAGAAAAACCCCATAAATTTGATTTTTCAACTGCCTTATGTACAGAGATTTCAATCCATCAGTGCAAGTGACATATACAGTTTCAGAGCAGGAATTCATAGCATACCAATAACAAATGTTCTGGCAGAAATGGTTTAAAGCTCAGTGCTTACATCAGTTAAAATAGCTGCATTGTTTTTAACTATATCTATACAAATCACAAGCTAAAGTAAGATCAGGTGGCAATTCTACCTCTGGCATATTTTGTTCTTCTAGGTGACTGGTAGGAGCTTCAAGTTTCATTTTCTGAGATGTTTTTCCTGTTTCAACAGCTAAGTCTCCCAGCAAAATTATGCCATACACCAGGGCCAGCATACATATTTATTGTGATATTTGATTTTTAGACCGTAACAATACATAACCAGTAGCCCCAGTTATACATGTAGTCAAAAATTCTGACATGTCTCAATGTTACAGTTCAATGGGTGAGCATTAGAGGCTCAGAATTAAAGCAGAGATCCAGAGTTTTGCATCCAAACCCCTGATGCTCAGAAGCCAGAACTACCCCTCCTCAGCCCACTGCACTAGCAAATTCAAAGACCAGTCAAAGCACTGGATTTAAGCCAATAGGATTATTCTGTTACCGGTTTAACAGACATTTACTCCCCTGTAACACATCTGCTTTTTTTTATTTATTTATATATATTTTTTTTTTAACAATCTGTGACTATCAAAGGGCACAAGTGAAAGGCATTTCCATTTTTTTCCACCAAAAAACATGCACATGGGCTTCAGTATAATGAGACCTGACAGCACAGACAAGGTTCAACTTCAGGATTACTGTTTGGAGTATCAGAACCATGTGCTGTGGTTTCTTTCAAGATCAAGTTCACAGGTATTAATTCATCAAGGGTAATTATCTGTGTATAGGCGACAGCCTTGCCCAGCACCATACAGCATGAAGCAGCTAGTAAGTGGTTTAATAAGTCTGCTTTTACACTGTACAGAGCAGCCCTAAATGGCGAGATTTTCTTTTAAAGGAAAGCAAGTAATGAATAGTTTAACAATGCAAGAACTGAACAGCAGGCTTACAGTTATCAGCACTGCTGTGGGTATGTACTTCCTTCCATCACCCCCCTTACCCAGGATTCTTTAGCATAAACTCATCAAGCAAATAATTATTCCTTTGAATTAAAAAAAGCCTTTGCTGCTTTGGGGATAGTGATGCAGAATCAGCAAACACAACTCAAGGGGAAAAAACGAATTAACTTCTGGAGAGCAAGAATAAATCGTTTCAATTACTTACTTTTTGCCACTATCTCCAGGAAAGACCAAGCCTCCTTGTCTGCTGGAACTGCCCTTTCATATGCTGCTTCTGCTTATCTTTGACCTGTTTATCTACTTCAGCAACTTTGCTTTGGGCTACTGAACAATTACCACATTGAAATGCTAAAAGCAGCAACACACATGTCTTGGAAATTACTTGGCCAGCTTTGCTCAATCTGTCGATCAGTGTCTCTCCACAAAAAGCCTCCACAAAGTCAGACCACAGCATTTAAAGGGATCACCACTTAAACTCAAAACATGAAAAATAAGGCTTGGACTGAGAAACAGTGTTAAGGTGAAGACAAATTTTAAGCTGGCTCCTCCTACCAGCTTCAAGACCTGACCTTCCAAAAGAAGGGAGTCAATGTAAACATTTTTAAGTGGTGTAGGGGACAGCAACCACATCTGAAAGCCAGACAGGCTCCAGACATTAGCCATTCATTCTCTGCAGAGACAGCTCACCACCAGTAACCTGACCACTTCAGCTGGCACAATCCATTACCTGAGCTTAGGAGACACGATTTCGTCTGGTCTGGATGGCTTTATAACTGGACTGAGCAAAAGCACTTCAGAATCCATCCCTAAAGGAGGCACTAGGCAACAAGACTAAAGAAAGCTTTTGAGCAACCACAGGAAGGTGAGGCTTTCACTGGCAATTTAATCTAAATGAGCCAAACAGCGATTGAAGTGGAGAGGAAGAAAACTTAACAGGATCACTTCCTCCAGCTCCCTTAAAGCAGCACCTGACTCAGGCCAGTCTATCCAGCACTTAACCTCCTCCGAGTTCCACATCAGGTGGTCTGGTGTTCAATATGGCAAGAAATTCCATGCGTACATTTTTCTCTGTCCAATTTATTTTCACTAAAACTCTTCTCCCACTGGTAACCAGTAATGAACTGACAAGCAGTCAGGAAGAAAAAAAAGCAGTAGAAAGTTAGCAAGTGATATGACATTGTGGTAATAAGGTTCACTAATAACGATCAGCTCTCTGAACAAAAGTGGAATTCATCAAGGTATTTTAGAACGACTCACAGGCTTTTTGACAAGAAAAATGAAACGCAGCAACAAATATGCCTCAGGTTCTGAAATTCAGGGAGCTGTTAACTAAATCTGGTTTTCTACCATGCAGTTTTCTACCAGAGCACTTGGACTTCAGCTGGGATCTGTTCTGTGTCACAGGTCAAACATGCAGCACCTTCTGGCTCCTGCAACAGTTCCAGTTCTCCTTGCTGCCCTCCCTCTCCCAGCACCAGCAGTTCCAGCTGCAGGGTACCAGGGTACCAGCTGCTGCACAGCCAATCTCCAGAGAACTGCATCCTCCGTGGACAGCCAAGTAAATTACCTCAACCTTTCTGGAGCAAAACAAAGCACCTGAGCCAAAGCTCCTCAGTAACAGTAAGGACTATTCATCCAGAAATAACTTGCAATACTCCCCTCCACAGACACAAGCTTCATTTACTAATATGAACTTTATACTTATCTAATTATTATATCTTATTATCTACTTCTGTTTCTGGATACCTCATCAGAATCCAACATATAGCCCCTGCTACCACAGCTCACAAATGTTCACCACTGATCCTAACCCAAAATCTGGAAAAAGAATTTTCCAGCTGATGAAAAAGACACCCAATGAAGTGTAACTTAAGCTTCAACAAGTTCTCCATGATTCTTACTAATCCAGGGGAAAAGTATATGAAACCAAGATACTACTTGTGTGGTGTCAGTACAAGGCACTCAAATTTAAAAGTGCCTTTGCTACGTATTTAAGTCAGAAAAGTAGGAAAAACCATGGTAACTTCGGCAGTCATTTAGCTCTCACTATGTTGCATGCTCTGGAAAAACAGCCTGTACGTGACCTCCACCAGATTCTTAAGAATTCCTATAGCAAGAATAACAGATACTGCAAAGTTGTTGGCATTAGAACAGGAAAAAGAAATGCCTGTAGATGAAAAATAAAGGGAAAGCTTATCTAGCAGGCTATTAACAGTTGTTCTTTGAAAGAGACAAACTCCTTCCTGTTTTGTGTTCTAAGCAAACAGCTTTCCAGCTGTGGGAGAAAGGTGCCAAACTGACCTCTTGGATACAATTATTGCACTACACATAAGAAACCACTAAAAGCTACCTCCTCTAATGTATTATTTATGCAGGCAAGAAGGTGACATGCAAAGAAAAATTCATACTACTTTTTTATGCAGGAGCTTGAAAATTGAAAGCACTCTGCAGGCTGTTTTGCAGTAGGTAGGTAGCATGCAACCAATTTAATACTGCTATTAACATCATGCTGTTCTTCTCCCCTCCACAGAGCCAATCCAGACTGCAGCACTGTGCCTCCCAGTAACAAAATCACACATAGGAAACTTGCTGGTGAGTGCTTCTATGCTTAGCCGAGTGCAGTTTAACTAATTGATCAAAAAGATTAAGAGTTAGTGTGTTTGTGAACAGTCTGATAGTACAGCTGACGCATTTAGCTTTTCCTCAAGATCTGAACTTAGCATAGACACTTATGCTTCAGGAGTACTACTGAGATGTCACACAAAAACCCTGGGGCAAACCAACACACTATTGCAACTGTACCTGAAAACTTCTTGGGCTTGAATCCATTTCACCCTTCAGCACCCTTGCAACAGCCCCAGGCAATTGAAATTTGCAGGAAAGTTGAACTAGTATTGTGCTTGAAAATCAATTACTTTACATGTTCCACTGTGGATTCTTATCAAGCATTTCATTAAGTCCTTCTTACACACTTCAAAGTACTCACAAGCAGCTAATCTGAGAAGGGTCAGAGACAGGAGTGTGAAAATTGAAATTCCAACTTTAAGGAAAAAGAAGAGAGATCATGAATAACCATGTACTTTATTAGGACACCTGTTCCTTTCAGCTTCATGCACATGCTGCCATCTATAACATAAGTAAATTACAGCAAGCAACTAGTAATGCTATTGTTGCTGATTTTCAGAAGCTAGGGGATTTTGTGTGTGTTTTCTGTTAAGTGAACAGATTATGCTTTTGTTGCAGTCTCGGATAAAAAAAAAAATCCTTCTATTAATACACCTCAATGCCTTTTACACCTACTTTCTTTTACAGCTGATTAAAACTGCATCAGAATGCAAGGTTAATGTCTTATCCTATGAAATGAAATAGAAAAGAGCACAAAACCTTTGCATGTCCACAGGTTCTCATCCAGATCTTGTTTTAAAAAGAAAACCCAGAAGCAACACCTACACGACACCCTAATACCTTCCCTCTGCTCAGAATGTCACTGGCTAGTCTGCACCACTCTGCAGTTCAGGCTGTGTCAGAGAGATCTGACTACGTCAAATTAACCATTTAATTAAGCATTGAAGGGGTGACCATTTTTTAAATTAACAAGGACAAGAGTGGACTTCAGAGGCTAAAAGATAACACAGTACTTTGTTACATCAAGACCTTCACGCTATCTGCAAGTTAAGTAAACCAGATGCTTTGGCCCAACTACATGAAGTACAGGGACATGTACTGGATGCAGTGAGAAGGGGGAAGAGGTGGTGTTTTTACTGAACAAAGTTAATAATAAGATCCTGCACTAACAGGAAGATCTAAAACTGCACATTACTTAAGAGCAGTGAAGGCCCCTCACAACAAACCCTCTATGGATTACACTCCTGCTTCAGATGACACTCCAGACAAAGCCAAGGGAAATGTTGCATGTCAAAATAGAATGAAACACATCGTGGTGGTAAACAGCATTTCCTCATTAAGATTTTTAAATCAAGAGGAGGTAGGAGATAGCTGTGGAGGAGCATTCACCTAGAGGAAATCACTCATACATTTCTACCACTTAATGGCAAAGAACTGTTTGCTTCCAGCAGAAACAGGATCAGTTCTCCTCACCTGGCTGAAAGCAACTGCAGACAGTAATTTGGACTGCCTTTAAAAAGGTCAAGTTACAATTTTTAACCTTTTAAATTCACAAGCAACAAGTGTAAAATTTGGCTCTGCTCTGAGAAGCTATGCAAGAGATAAATAAAAGGGAAATGTGGGCAGATTAGCAATTCTCATTAATTGCAGGAAATGAACATATCCTGGAAGGAAACAGCCCAACCTAAGCACAAAAATGGGGCAGGAATAGCAAACAGACATCAGTTTTTTCTGGGATACTCAGATTGCCTTCTACAACAAAGTATTTCCTCGATTTTAAACAATAAGCAAACAAAAAAACCCCATCACTGACTTGTCACTCAGCTTTCCACTCTTATGGAATATTCTGCGCTACTAAAGTGGAGAGAAAAGGTTTGGGCAGATGTTGCAGTAGTCCCACATCCATACAGAGATCTCTGATTTTTGACATGGAAGTCAGCTACCCAGCACAACCAGTACCTTTCCATTATCAGTGATGCAGGGCCACTGGAGAAGTTGCTAAGTACCAGAAAATACCACCACATACACACAGCATAGTTTCTTTGCTTGGTGTGTGTTAGACTCTTCTAGTACAAACACACTGAGTATGCTCCAATTTTTATTTTCCTTCTCAGACATGTTTAATACTCTGGCCTAATCCAGGAGAATATTTAACCTTTCATTTAAAGCCTAAGGATGCATGTAGCACTATTGAAATTTAGGCATTTTGTTCCACTAGGTCTGCACACTCAGTAACTAACACAATACAACCCTGCTAAGCTGAACACTACATGCCAATAATCACAGCACAGATATTTTACTAGTCAGACAATTCAGAGGCTATTAATTTCCTCTGCATTGAGCTAGAGCCTTTGGGAAGTCACAAAGCATCACAGCATCTTTCAGCCTTCTCTGAATGAGAAGTCAGGTATAGCACGCACATTCAGTATCTGCTCTCATGCAGAACATAACCCATCAGATACAGCACACAGCATCTGTCACAAAGGACATCATCTTTCAGTGAGGTTAAGAAGAATTCCCAAATCCAGCTGGGGGAATGAGAGGGATGGCATAACACTTTCTCCAGTTGTTAACATAAAACCTGGGCTGTTTCATGGTAGGCATATTTCTGTATTTGTGTGCCTAAAATATTTTTTGAGGAAAAAGAAAAAAAAACAAAACACCAAAAGTGCTTTTAATGATCCTTCAGTTGTTTTCAGAAAATATTTGCTATTTAAAACAAATTATTTTAAACTGCCTATTTTTACCAGGGACACATGCTGTTCCAGGCTAAGACTCCTCAGCAAGTGTCTTAAACCAGAAAAGTCATTCAGGCTTGAGGGTACCTTTGCCTGAATCTTCTGTACTCTCTCCATTAACATGCTCATACACTAGTAATGCACCAACACACTAATACTCTAGGTTCAGATGCCTCTATTGAAGCTTATTCTGTTCTAATGCAATGGCTACAGGTGTCCCTAAAACTGGTCCATGCTCACAACACTGACTTCAGCACCTCAAAACTACTTATCTTCCTGAAACTTTGTTGAAGGATCCTTTTGAGAAATTCCACAATGCTCTACAGTAAATTCTGACACTTCAGACATCAAAAAAGCAAACCTTGGCAAAAGAAAAATGTACATCACAAGAAGTGAACCAAAGGAGCTTTAAGGCCTGTGATTATTTTTGC